GAGAAAGCGCCATACCGCCTTCCACAGTGGTTGCACCAGGAGGCAAGGCTTTTGAAGCTTTGAGCACGTATCCAGGAAGGAACAGTCCTTGGAGAAAGACATAATACTTGGAAAGATGGAAGGACAGTGCAGGAGAGAAAGACCGGGGATGAGATGAATTGACTCGGTAACAGGGGCAGTGGGATTAGTGAGATTGGCTCAAGATAGGGCAGGGTAGGATGCTTTGAGTCGAAGATGACTCGAGGGTTTATTGAAACAACAGTCCCAGATGTTGTTGGGAAGATCTAGCACTAGTTTAAGCAAGCAAGTTACTGGTGCACACTGCATGTTGTTGTTGTTCAAATGCATTTGTTGTTGTTGTTAGTTGCCATCAAATTAAGCACACCTCATAGTGACCCTATGAACAGACACATTAGAGCCTATTGCAGCAGTCACTGTGTCAGTCCTCCTGCTTGAGGGTCTTCCTCTCCATAGCTGACCCTCCATTTTTCTAAGCATCGTGTCCTTGTCCAAGGAATAGTTCCTTCTAGCAATGTGCCGGAAGTATGTGAGGTGAAGTCTCATCATTCTTGCCTCCAAAGAGCATTCCGGCTACATCATGTTCAAGACTTATTTGTTTGTTCTTTTGGCAGTCTGTGGGATATTCATCGCTCTTTTCCAACACCACAAAGGCATCAGTTCTTCTTTTGTCATCCCTATTCATTGTCCGGCTCTCATATGCATCACAAGTGATTAGAAAAGACCATGGCCTGAATCAGAAGCACCCTAGTCAAACAGGCATCATTACTCCTCAAATGCCTAGCAAATGATTGAAAAGACCATGGCCAGAATCAGGTGCACGACTCATTGCTCCTCAGTAATTGGAGAGGTCCCTGAGAGCAGACTTGCACAATGCAGTATCTGTCCTGACTACTTGTACCGAGGGTGTTCATTGTTAATTAAAGCAAGATGAAATCATTGACAATTTCAATCTTTTTTTCCATCCGTCATGCTGTTGCTTATTGGTCCAGTGATGAGGATTTTTGTCTTCTTAATGTTCAGATGCAATTCAGATGATGGCTGTGGCTGTAGTCTTTGATCTTCTGTAGTAAGAGTTTCAAATCCTCACTTTCGGCAAAGCAAGGTTGTGTCAATTGTGCAAGGCAGGTTATTGATGAGTTTTCCTCCTATCTTGATGTTACTCATTATAAAGTTCAGTTTCTCAAATGATTGATCAGTTTATAGATTGAATAGACATGGAGAAATGATTCAATCATGACATACACCTTTCATGATTTTAAACCATTCAGTGTTCCCTTGCTCTGTTAGGACCCTGGGTAGTTTTCATATGAGCACAATTAAGCGTTCTGGAATGGCCTAGCAGTAAGAAGTTGCATTGCAATACTAAAGGCACCTGGTTCGAATCCACCAACTGCTCTGCGGGAGAAGGATGAGCAGTCTCCTCCTGTGGGATTAAACCACCGCTGAAAACTTGAGGGTCAGCTGTGAGTCATATCCAGCTCAGTGGCATGCAAAAACAACAACAACTCAGTGTTAGCCATAGTTTGTGATAAGCTACACAATCAAATATCTTTGCATAGTCAATAAAAAACACAAATAGACATTCTTCTGGTATTCCCTCCTTTAAGCCAGAATCAGCAATGATATCCCTGGCTTCTTCTAAATCCAGCTTGAACTTTTCATAGTTCTAGCTGGTTTTCTGTTTTGTTTTTTTTTTTAACAATCTCCAACAATATTTTTCTTGCATATGATATTAATGATATTGTTTGATAATTTCTGCGTGCTGTTTGATCACCTTTCTTAGGAGTCGAGGCAAATACAGATTTCTTCAGCTGTTCTCCGATTTCCTGGAGGGGTGCAACTTTTAGTTCAAACATGTCAATTGATCAGTGATTCCTGGAGATTAATATTTTGCCAATGCCTTTAGTGCAACTTGAACTTCTTTCTTAATTATTGTTGGCCCTTGTTCATATATAGTGGTAGAGATGGTGGTTGTATGCAGTCGAGTCACCTGTAACTCATAGCGACCTTACGTACAACAGCCCTAAACCTTGCTCTATGCTGTGACAGTCTTATTGTCTCTGACACACCTACTCCATTACCCCAGTCACT